AATGTAAGCCAGTGCTTTGACCAAAAGAGTGACCTATAAATGCTAATTGACAATGGCAGTGATAACGTAATGCATCCTTGGATCAAAATGGAAAACCTTGTTCTTGAAAACTACAAATAGGAAGGCCCCTTTGTATTTTTCATTCTCCAATGAGAGGCTACTTGGTCAATATTTACAGCTTGTTAGAAAGAGAAGGGGTGGCTAGAGAGAGAATCAACAGAGCTTCTTCCTTGAGCTGATTGACTTATCATTACAATATCGTACCTTTTCAGGGTTAGTGCCCTTCAGGGTTCTGTCAACTGCAAATGTTGTTTGTAGAACCTATTATAGACAGTTTTGATAGAATTAGGAGAATTACACAGAGAAGAGGACAGAATTACAGAAAATTTTTTGGAGCTGTAGCATCCATTATTTGATAAAGGGACTTCTTCAAGGTTCCATACTGGGCCAAATATCTTCTATTTGTCTTCCCATAGCTTATACTTATCCTTCTTTGTTCCTGCTACTCTCTGCCTAGAAAGGATGACCTATATGGATTATATCAACAAGCTCCAGCACCCTCTAGCTTGTAGTTGTGTCTGGTCATGCTAGGAGGGAGGGAAAATGAGTTCAAGGTATTTGAGGTCAACTTGAGCTGTTGATGTCCTTTAACAAGCTGTCACTTCTCAGAAGGTAGTTTTTACTATATAAGCCCTCTGTCCTTTTGGGTCCTGGTGACCTTCCTCTTCCTTCTCCCATTAGGTCTGGGGGTGGTGACTTCTCTTTTGCTGCAAGTCCCAAGTTTATTCACTATCCAATGGTTTGCCTATATTCTACCTTGGTAATCAGCCTCCTTATAAACTAACCCTCCAGAAATTACTTTGAGTGTGCTCTGTTTTTCTCTTGGGACCATGACTAATACACATACCATTCTACACATTGAGACTGAAAAGGAAATGGCTGTTGGGGCCACATCAACACACATCATGCACCCTTTTTTGCAGCCCTCTGGACTACCTTACGAGTATTCTTAGTCACCTTCTTTGCTTCCTTCCTCAACCATTGACTCCTTCCTTGACCTTATAAATCAAGCAGGGAATAAGTCTACAGCCAATTCAAAACCAAGCCTGATATGCTCAATTAACTTTCCCAGTCTTCCCAGTATTCTTCTCTACTCCCACTCCTCTTGGTGCTGTAGATCCACTCTGCTTGGATCTCATGGTAGATCATGGTAGAAGTTTTGTCTTAGTCTTCTTTTGTCCCCAGAACTTGGAATATGATAAATGCTAAACAACTGCTTTTATAATGAAAACACAGAAGATAGAATTAAGGAGGTGACTGTTTATTAAACCTTCTATTTCCAGACAGTCCAGGACTGGTCTACTTCTCTCCCTTCTTTGAGAATGCTCAGTGCTTTTCTTACTTTCTTGCACAACACTGCTGCTGTATTATGACCAGTAATGTATTGGTAAATGGTTTTTGTTGTTGTTTTGTAACAGTTTTATTGAGATACAATTCACATGCCATATAATTCACCTATTTAAAGTTTACAATTCAGTGGACTTTAGTATGTTCACAGAATTGTGTAATGAATTTCACAGTTAATTTTAGAACATTATTTTCATTAGCTCAAAAAGAAATTCATCTGTTTCTTCTCTATCTTTTCATCCCTCACTTCCTGGCAACCACTAATCTACTTTCTATCTCTTTGGATTTGCTTATTGTGGACATTTCATATAATGTCCATACACATACAATATGTGGTCCTTTGTGAGTTGCTTCTTTTACTTTGCTTAATATTTTTAAGGTTCATCTAAGTTGTAGTATATCGGGACATGTGTACTTCCTTATTATGGCTAAATAATATTCCATTTTATGGGTATAACACATTTTATTTATCTATTCATCAGTTGATGGACAAAATTTGTTTCCACTGAATGTTGGTAAATGTTTAACAACTAGGAAAAAAAACTCCTGATGTGTAGCACTTGATTTCCATCATATTAAATATGCCCATCATGGCTGATTGCAAGCTATATAATGTCACCAAACGTGGAGTTGGAAAGAGATACTAACATAAGGTCTTGTGAGCCTCTGTAAGCCAGCTCCAGCATACCACTTTGACCATCTTTACTTATATTTCATTCAAGTTACCAGAGATGGGATCACATGCAGTGAGGTTTCCATACACTATTACTTTAGGATAATAACAATAATAATATAAAAGTAATGCAACAGCTAACATTTTTTCTCTGTATCAGGCTCAGTGCTAATCATTTTCTAAAATTTAATTCTTGATCACCACTATTTCCTTAGCAACCTGCATCTCCAAACTACCAATATTTTCTGCTTGATTCACTGTCTCCTTAAATACTTCAAATGCATCGCATCTCACAACTCATGCACTTGCTTCCTCTACCTGGTACATTCTTTCCCCCAGATATCAACATAGCTCCTTGCCTCATTTCCACCAGATCTGTGCTCAGGTGTCCCCTCCTCAGAAAGGTCTTTCCACTACCTCATCCCTTTATCTAATCCTTTGCCAAGTTTTGTTTTTCTTCACAGCACTTGTCACCATTGTTCTCTTGTTCTGTACATTTATTTTCTTGTTTATTGGCAATCTCCACACCATAATGTCAGCTCCACAAAGGCAGGATCTTTGTTTTGTTTACAGTTACATTTTAAATGCCAAGGCCATGTTCTTAATCATGCTGACTAAGCTGGGAAGTTTGGAATTTGTACACAAGGGCCTCTCTTCCCCCATGTGCTCCTCCTGGTGCTATCAGAGGAATGTTAGAGAACATTCTGCCCTAGTCCCTGCATCTCTGTTACTAGTCCAAATTCTGGCATAGACGGGACTCAGCTGACACAGGTAGAAGACAATCTAGTGATGTGGCTAAGAGTGTGCCTCCTCTGGAGCCAAACTAAATGGATTTGCATCCCAATTCTGGTACTCACTAACTGTGCACCTTGAGTTTAATACCCAATTTCTCAGTTTCTCCATCTTTAAAATGGGAGAAGAATCCCCACCTCATAAGTCTGTTGTGAGGATTAAATTAATCTTTTAATTTAATGTGATCGGGAGGCCTGGGTGGCTCAGTCAGTTAAGTGTCCGACTTCAACTCAGGTCATGATCTCACAGTTGTGAGTTTGAGCCCTACATCAGGCTCTGCACTGACACTTTGGAACCTGCTTGGGATTCTCTCTCTCCCTCCCTCTCTGCCCTCCCTCGCTTGTGCTCCCCCTCTCAAAAATAAACATTAAAAATAATAAAATAAAGTGGTCAATGAAGGGACACCTGGCTGGCTCAGTAGGTAGAGCATGTTAATCTCAGGGTCATAAGTTCAAGCCCCATGTTGGGTGTGGAGCCTACTTAAGAAAAAAATAATAAAGTGATCAATACATAGCAAGTGCTTGATACACCTTGTCTGCTTAGCTCTGAGGACATCTTTTGGCAGTAATCTTTACTTACTGTGTAAGTCACCTGTATAAACCTGCCATGTGGAAAACTGTAAAAGTCACTTCTTAGCTCTTTATTCTATTACTGTAATCACTAGCACTCAGTAAAAGCACATATAGATTGTCCTGCTGTCACAGGGAACTGGATAGTTCCTAGCCTGCTTTTGCTTCTCACAAAAGAGGAGACCCTTGGGATCAAGAAAGTGTAATCAATCAGCCTGCTGTTTTTTCCTGGGAAATCACCTGTATTTAACCACTAGGTTTAACAAAGCCCCAAGGGAAACTTGATGTTATTCTTAGTCTAACTAGCAGAGGCAAGCTGTATCTGGAGCTTCCCTAGGCCTGTAGAAAGGAAAGCTTCCCACAGAAGAGAAATCCTTGCCCCCAAGACCTAGGATGTTGGGAGGAAAGGAAGCATTGGTGGCTTTGCCAGATTGAGTGGAGAAAGAAGGAAGAGACGGTAGGTCATTCATGAAAAGAAGAGAAACCACCCAGTGTGCAGGACTGGCTTCAAAGGAGGCCCCCTGAGGCCCTGAAGCTCACCTTGCTATATGCCCCTGCTAGGCAGGGTCCCCCTAATCCAAGGAGCTGTGTTTTACACCCTTCCTGTATGTACCCTTCCCCACTTCCTCAGGTCCATGAATTTGGTTAAAGTCATAAGTTAGATGGGAAACTTCATTTGCTAATTTCAGGGAAATCCAGTTCCATTAATATTTACTGAACGCCCACAGGGATCTGGGCAGTATTAATGGGCAGTCCCAGGAATCCTAGGAACCAACAATCTACAGTCGCATCCCAGAAAAATAATCCTCCCTGTTTCTGAGCACCCTCATTTCTTCAGAGTCAGCTTCTGGGTCTGATCCCTGCAAAACACCAACACTTTCCCTGTACTTGGGCTCCCAGTGGGCTCCCCTGGGGCCTCCTGGAAACGCTGGAGGATTAAGGGGTGGGGATTTGGGAGGGCTGGGGAGGTAAGGAAGGGAGAAGGGGGGAAGGAACGAGGTGCGTTTCCCCCTTTAATCGTGTTTCGATCAAGAGTCGGGCCGTGTTCCCAGGCGCCGATTCCGGCGGTCCAGAGACTCTAACAGGAACCGCCTGGCATCCTGGGTGGTGGACTTTGGCTGGTCCGGGCGCCGGAGCCTCCCTCCTCCCCCCTCCTTCCCTCCCTCCGGGCTCTGTGCCTCACTCAGGGGCGTGTCCTGCCCTACCTCCCTTTCACAGTGGTCCACTTATCCGGTTACAGCGGCAGCGGCAGCGGCAGCAGCCTGAGCACGAACAGCGATACCTCCGGGTTTCCAGACGGGAACTGTGGCCACGGCAACAGCCCAGTGGGGGCACCTGTGTGGAGCAGGAGTAGCAGGACGAGGGGGTGGGGTTCTTGCCAGCCACTCTCTGAGCCCGAAGGAAGGGGCACCTCCCAGCTGAGATTCCAGTGCTCCGCAGAATCTCTCAGCGAGCTGGCGATACTAGTGGGGATAGACATGTGCTGGACCAGCTAGAGGGCTGGGGTAGGTAAACATTAGGTCTAAGCGTAGAGTGGCAGCAAAGCTGTGCCTGAGACCATGACGGCCTCCCACCTGGACTTTGGGGAAGTGGAAACTTTCCTGGACAGACACCCAGAGTTATTTGAAGATTACTTGATGCGGAAGGGGAAGCAGGAGATGGTGGAGAAGTGGCTGCAGAGACACAGTGAGAGTCAGGGGGCTGTAGGCCAGAGGCCCGCAGTGACCAGCACCAGCAGCTTGGCTCACAGTGGTGGCAGACGCAGCGGCAGTGTTGGTGGTGGCACTGGACCAAATAGCTCTGCCAACAGCCAGCCCCCAGGTGGTGGGGACTGTGGTGGGGTTCCCCTGAGTCCCAGCTGGGCCAGTGGCAGCGGGGGCGATGGGAGCCTGCAGCGGAGAGCTTCTCAGAAAGAGCTAAGGAAGAGTTTTGCTCGCTCCAAGGCCATCCACGTGAACAGGACCTACGATGAACAGGTGACCTCCCGGGCCCAGGAGCCCCTGAGCAGTGTGCGGCGGAGGGCGCTTCTCCGGAAGGCCAGCTCCCTGCCCCCCACCACGGCCCACATTCTCAGTGCCCTGCTGGAATCCAGGGTGAATCTGCCTCAGTACCCCCCTACAGCCATGGACTACAAGTGCCACCTCAAAAAGCATAATGAGCGTCAGTTCTTCCTGGAACTGGTCAAGGATATCTCCAATGACCTTGACCTTACCAGCCTGAGCTACAAGATCCTCATCTTTGTCTGTCTCATGGTGGACGCTGACCGCTGCTCTCTATTCCTGGTGGAAGGGGCAGCTGCTGGCAAGAAGAGCTTGGTCTCCAAATTCTTTGACGTGCATGCAGGAACCCCACTGCTGCCCTGCAGCAGCACAGAGAACTCAAACGAGGTACAGGTCCCCTGGGGCAAAGGCATTATTGGCTATGTCGGGGAGCATGGAGAAACGGTCAACATTCCTGATGCCTACCAGGTAGGACTTTGCCTTGTCCCCCTTCCAGAGCTCCACTGGCGTGGAAGCTAAGGCTTTGTTACCCCTTGGCGTCTAGGAACACATTAATTTAGACTCTTCACGATATTAATCTTGCTACTTAAATTCCTTCTGAGTTACTACACCATCTTTGATAGAATGGTCTTTCCCTGACCTGTGGTGGCTTGTAAACAGTTCATGTATCACAAGGACTACATTTTGCACTCAATAATATCACATGTTTCTCTGTTAAGATTCCTTGTCCTTAAGAATATCAGTGTATGGTTTTAGAATGCATTTGTGAGGTGCCAGGAAAAAAAATGTCTACTCCAGAATAGTAGTGTTAGTCTGAAGAAAATGGCATGTTGGTGTCTCTGATGCCTTTTGAGGCTGTAATAAATTTCATTCTCTTTCAGGGTTGGACAGGGAACAAAGTACTGAACTACTTTCACATCCCTTTATCTAGCTTAAAGTTGCATGCATTTCAAGGTAGGGAGGAAGAGGAAGAGAGGAGGAAAATCAGGGGAAGAATGGGCCTCTGACTCATTTGTGGCTTTTTAATTGTTTCTGTTACTGAGTTTAGGGAGGCTGGACAAAACAGAGGGATTATTTATCTTTGGGTATGAATATAGCATTATCTGCAGCCAGCTTTTGACACGACTGAGCAAGTAGGCTTTTAGTTTTTGAAGCAAACAAACAAAAATTGATAATTTTTTAGCAACTCCAAAGGCAATCAGCAGTGTAAACATGCTAGTATCAAGTGGAATAGGAAACCCAACATGCTATTGTCTGGCATTTCTAGCCTTTCATTTTCATAGTGACTTGAACTTGCTATTAGGTGCCAGATCTGAAAGCCAGTCAGTTCTAATTCATTCAGTATCTATTCAGTGAATGTGATAAACTGGCTATGCTTTCTATGCGACTTCCTCAGTGTTCGTAAGAATTGAAAGTTCTTAGCCTTGGTTTTGAAAGTCTTGTGGTCATCTGATGAGCACATCTTCCAGTGTCTAATAGAGCCACCTGTTTCTCTAGAGTTTGGTTGCTGTTGATCAGAATAGCAAAAGTGGTGGGAGGGACACGGAGGGTAAAACTTTTTCTAGTTTGTCTGAAAGTTAACCATTTTACATAGAAAATTTACTAGCTTGAACTAAAACCGAATTTCACATTTTTTGTGTGGTGTCTGTCACTATAACACTTTCATAGTAAGGGATGCCTGTCAAAATAACCATTTTCATTTACATTTTGTTATTGACTAGGTGCGTTATTTATTATATCCTCCTTGAAGGGACAGTCTTAGGTCAAGCAACCAATGAATGAACTTTCACAAGTGTCTATTTCTCTATAATCTTGGAAAGCCATAGGAAGAAATCAAAACATTTAACAATTTGTATGTTAAAGATTCTGTAAAAAGTTGGACAATCACAGTCTTTTTCTTTCCCATTTCTTCCACATTCTTCTTGTGAGCTTGGGCTAAAAAATATCCCTTCCTAGTTGGATGACACTTGATAGAGTTTGGAATTGCAGTCTGTTCTCTTCATTGCCTTTACTCTTCTTATTCTTCCCCAGTTGATATTTTCCCATTTCTATAGCTTTTATTTCTTACTCTCTTTCAACTCTCAGCTTGTATTTAATACTGCTCACATAACTGCCTTTTCTTCAGGAGCAGAATTCCAGCTTCCTCAGTAGTTTACTAGCCTTCATGCTGCCTAGAATTGTGGCTAGAGGTGTTGTCAGAGTTACAGAAAATCAGATTTTCAGCAGCTGATATTTCTTCTGGGCCCTACTTTTGCTCTGAAGGTGGAGTATAAAGCAAAGTTGCCTTTGATATGTGGAAGCTGACAGTGGGAAAGGAGAGTACCCAGGGTGGTAGTGATGGCTGTAGAGGACCAGGTTGTTGGGAGGACTTCAGAGGAAATGTAGGGGAGGGTGTTATATAGGCTGAGTTGGAGATCTGGGTTATGCCTGGTCTTCATTTCATCCTGGACAGAAAGTTTCTCTTTTCTGTCACCATCGGCTTCTACTATATATTTCTATATTTTTAACCTGGTGTGTTTTTTTCACTTTTTATGCCACTTCAGAAAAACTACATTTTTTTCTTTATTATGATACACTACAGTCACCGTTAGTGACCTTGGGAGGTCTTTTTTTTTTTAATGTTTATTTATTTTGAGGGAGAGAGGGAGAAAGGGGCAGAGAGAGAGAGACAGAGACAGAGACAGAGACAGAGAGTAAGGGAGGGAAAACCCTAGGCAGGCTCCACACTGTCAGCATGGAGCTGGATACCAGGCTTGATCTCACAACTGGGAGATCATCTGATCATCTGAGCCAAAATCAAAAGTTGGACACTCAACCAACTGAACCATCCAGGTGCCCCTTTGGGAGAATCTCTTAATCTCTGAGTCTCAATTTTCTTACCTGCAAAATGGAATAATAACATGTATGTGACAAAGATAAAATAATTGTTTGGAAAATAAAATGAATATTGCATTACAGCCCCTCAAAGAGTACCTGCCACATTGCAATTTCTCAGGAAAATGTTAACAATTTATGATGATAATGATAACATGAGTCCACTAGAATTCTTTTTCTTTATCTCATTTTCAGTTGTTTTTATCTGGGACTGAGATGTGGACTCAGCACATTTTGACCACTCTACTCTTTCCCTGAGCCTTGTTCCATTCTTAAATTAAGTATTTTAGAATCATCTTTACATTCAAGGAATGTTGAAATATCTACCCTTCTACCCTCTACTTACCATTTCTTTAAATGTGATTGATTATATGTGACTGACCCTATCCCATCCCTATCAAGGGTGTTATACTTTGTGGCTTTAAGGAACTTAGGCAATATAAATTTTTTTATGGAGTTGTATTAATGTTGTCTCCTTCCTACATTTTATCAGTTTCCCCCATCCTTTCCATTTCTGACTTATAGATTTCTATTAATGAAAACTGACAACCTTTCAAATGCATGTTCTTTTATCATGATGTTGTAATTCTGATAATATATAAACATTCTGAAGTTTCATTGTAAAAATATAACCATTCCCTCTGATATTTTATTACCTATTATGTTTTTAAGGTGTTTCTTGCTCAGATTCAACTCATGTTCTTCTACTTCAGTAGGTAAACATTTTATTGTACAGTTTCAAAATTTAATCATTTGAAAATTAGACTGATTATCCTCTTGGGTTCAGAATATGGGTGAGAGAAAGGCATTAAAGATACTAATGGAATTATGATAGTATAACATTCTGGAGCCAAGAATAGACTAATGAAATACTAATGTTGAATAAAAGTTTTGACAGCAACAAAACAAAACAAAACAAAAAACCCTCCTTAGTTTATTTCATTATTTTCAATTACTTCTTCAATTAGTCCTAAAAGACAGACTTGGGACACCTGGGTGGCTCAGTTGGTTGAACATCTGACTCTGGATTTGGGCTCAGGTCATGATTTCATGGTTTGTGAGATTCAGACCTGCATTGGGCTCCATGCTGACAGTGTGGAGCCTGCTTGGGATTCTCTTTCTCCCTCTTTCTCTCTGCCCCTCTCTGCCCCGTCTCTCTCTCAAAAAATAAATAAACATTAAAAAAAAACAGACTTGAAATTAGAAGAAAATTGCAAGTGGAAAAAAATTCATTTTAGGTAGCCAGTATGGATCATAGTGACTGCAATTTACTTTTTTTCCCCCCTGACAGTTATAAGTTATTAAACAGCCCACTTTAATATAGTAATGAGAAAGTTGCCCTCAAGAGGTTGAAAATAAGAGCACTCAAGTAACAGGTGTTCTTTTTGAGATTGTTCTAAGCATTCAGAATATAGCACTTTAAACATTAATAAAAAGTGTGAGATGATATTTTTGTTGGTGTTGATAATGATGATACATACAGGTGTTTGATGGGCTTTGGGTCTGAAAAGCAGCCGGGATGTTTTGTTAGGTGAACTGGGGGGAGGAAAGGGGATGACGCAGAAGGGTTACAGGTGTGCCAGGCTTTCAGAAAACCTGATCTGTTTACACAACAGATTCACTTATTCATTAGTTCCAGCAAACATGCACTAAGCGCGCATTATACCTAAAGCCTGGATGGGGGGACTGCGAGTGTAGAGATCAGAGAACATGTTCTTTGCCCTCCAAATGCTTATAGTTGAGGGGCATATACTATACACAAACAAATAAATACCAAGCACTATACTTAATACATGTTACAAACTAAATGACTAGTCTCAGAGGAGAATGGATTCACATTATGATTGGGCTCATAATGGAAGACTTCATGGAGGAGGTGCCATTCAAGCTGACAAAAAGGTTAGATTTCACCATTGGAGATGATTGTGGGTTTGGGGGGAGTGATCCAGGTGTAGCAAAATGGTGTCAGCAGAGACACAGTAATGAGCAAGCACAAAATGTGTACAGAGGACAGTGAGTGGTTTACTTTGGACAAAATATTGTCCATGCTGTAGAATGAATATGCAAAAGTAACATGAGGGCAAAAGAGGAAAAAACCTTGAATGCCTGACTAAAGATTTGAATTTCATTAACAGTCAGTTGGTCAGTGACTAACAGTTACAGGGAGCCCTTAAAAACATTTTAGTAGGATTAGAGTGGTGTTTTGGGTAACCTGGTGTCAGCGGCTGAATGGATTGGAGGAGGCTCAAAGCTGTGGGGCGCCTGGGTGGCTCAATCCGTTAAGCATCTGACTCTTAATTTTGGCTTAGGTCTTGATCTTGCAGTTTGTGGGATTGAGCCCTGCTGCGGTATCAGCACAGAGCCTGCTTGGGATTCTTTTTCTCCCTCTCTTTTTGCCCCTCCCCTGCTTTTGCTCTCTCTAGGAAAAAAGTAATAACAATTAGGAGTCTATTATGATGGTCTCATAGAGCCATGATGAACAACTGAACTAAAGCAGGAACAGTGGGAATGGGCAGCAGGGGACGGATGGAAGATGCTCTGTAGGTGTGGATTTGGGCTAGGAGGGAGGGAGGTTAATAACAACCTGGGTTATG